ACACTGGAAACTGTTTTGCCTTTTGGCAACGCACCTTGCAAGAACTCAGCCTGTGACTTCGGGGCGTCGGGAACATCGACTTTGGCCACCTCCGAGTCCTCGGGGAAGACCGGCAGGTCAATATGGCTCGGGTTGTCGTCGCGAGAGTGCAGCATGTCGAAAACTTCAGACCTTTAATAGGAGTATTTAAATCTTAAAACCCTACTTCAAGATGAAATCGTTTTCTTTCTATTTCTTAACTTATAACAGTCCTTCACCTACTCTTACAAAGTGGCGGTGTTAGCTCAGCGGGAAAACGGTTGCTTGAGAAGTCAACTGTTCGAAGCCCTATGGCGACCTGTACCTGTGATTTTATTTATTAACTTGCATACATTTGTGAATGTTTAAAAGAAATATTTCTCTCTGACGGTGAAGAAAAACATCGTAATAAAGCTTACATGTTGAAGACGGTTCACAACACTTGAAAAACATGTGAAGTTTCCAACCCTCATTGGGTCCGGTCTCCCTAAAGGAGACTGTGATGGGATATAATAGAATGACGATGGTAAAGGAAGAAGGATATAAGGGTCCTGGTGAAATTACAGGCACATGGGACTTGTCAACTTATGTCTCAGGGTAACGGGCGCAGTGGCAGTGCCCCTCAGATCTTTGCGATTTGAAGCTCTGAGTGGCACTGCAACTGTTATGGACAGGCATTTAGCTTACCATCAGGCGCACGACTTGTTCGTCCCGTCACTTGATATTACAAAAAAATATACAACTCACTTGCTAACTCCATTCTTATCACTAACGAGTAGCTTCAGCAAAGTAACGTTGGCCTCAAAAGTCTTGTATCGACTGTTGTCTTCTACCTCCTTCACCAGGCTCGGCAGGGTGCTGTCTTCGGACTTGTGGGGGTTGTTTACGCTGCTGCATGACGTTGTACCTGTGTATAATAAGTACCTCGTTGTAGATCAACAATCGTGAAATGATGTTCAAGGAGATTTGTTAGCGGTAGTGAGACGCATTGCCTCCGTGGCTCCTGGTGCATCCATACCGCCATCGCTTTTTTACAGGAAACTCTTGATTGATCATACGAAATAGAAAAACCGTTCTTTGGTCAAAGAAGCGTGTGTTCTTAATTATTCTTTAATGGTTTTTTACAAACGAGTTTAAATCATCGGTAATGAATGAGCACACATTTAACATTAAGTTAACCATTGTACTACATATTTTGATTTAAAATAAACTACAATATTTTGCATGTATTTAATACTTCGTGCCCGTGGGCCACCTGAATAAATTTAAAAAAAGCGATACAAAGTCAATAAAGTCTTAATCTTTAAGTCAACAACTAGTCGAGTCCAATGCACACACATGCACGCACGCACGCACGCACGCACGCATGAACGCACGCACGCACGCACGCACGCACTCACGTACGCACGCACGCACGCCCCTTCGCACGCACGCACGCGTGGAATTCACTTTGAATCTAATTTGTGTGTAACCTGGTGCTATGTCGTCTTTCCATGCTTAGTCTGTCACAGTCTTCAATTTTGTAATATGACTTTTGAATTAAAATTAATAAACTAAAAAATACAGGAAATGATAATCTTATCTAATTATATGCTCCGGAATATTATTGTAATAACGTGTACAGTTCCCCATAAAAGGGTCTTTTGCTACGGTTAAACGAAATCGTGGTACCATGAGTTTGGACTTGGCTCTAAGGTTAGTATAATATAATTTTTAATGTAGTCTCTCTTGTCTCTCCATTATCCACTTAATGTGTTAAACTACACGCGGGGTGGGTGCCTGGAGACCTATACAGGCTAGACTTAGTTTAGGCTCCAGTCTCCCACAAATGTAACTAACTAATATAAGTACCTTTTTGTAGTCTTTTAGCTGTGTGAGGAGAAATAAATAATTTTGTGTTTGTATTTAATTTTATAAGCCGACACACGATAGTTCTACTGTAAGTAACTGAGGAGTTGGACAGTCTGCCGGCTGTCTTGTTCACCGTCCGACATTTGTCCGAAACAATTACTGTCAAATGAAAACTGAGACCCTGGTTCCAGTATCAGATCAAGATTACCACGTCATTGTAGTGTCATCGGATTTCCTTAATATAACAAATTTCATGTCAATCCGAGATCCCTATACTGAGAAAAGAACTGGTGATCTTTAAACGGCTGGACAATTGTCCATCACACGTAGGTTTAAGAACCATCCCGATGAAATTAGACTTCAAATAAACCGCTTTGAGGTCAGTCCATCCGTTTTAGGGCTACGAAGCCACATACAGACACACAGGTACGCAGCAGACAAAGGCTACAAATTTATAAATCTCCTCTTTTTGTGTCTGGAGCTAAAAATAGAAAATCGTGGTGGTCCACCTCAGACAGATTGATGTTGGTCATTATAATACTTTTATGGATTAAAAAATATGCATAACTGATGCTTTTGATTTACAGAAAGTTTTTGTATTTGGTATTTATGGTGACTATTAAGAGCCTATACGACCTCAAATAGCTTTGGTTGATTACGCACAAGTGAAAGTGTTGCATCAACCACTTTGAAAAAAAAAAATATAGTAAAATTGAGATATACCTACACTTAGTAGTATAACGGTATGAAACCATGATTTGTAAAAATTTTCACGATAAAAAAGATGTTGCTGGGGTTACCACGACACTGTAGCGCTTCAGGCATGTTCGCAGAGACACGCACAGATGGCTTTCATGACATTCTGAGGAAGCGGGTTCCCGCACTTTAATTTTAATTTCAATTTTATGTTTAAACAACATTGACTTACAATTATATGGACGTCGGGTCCGCGCTAAAAAGTGTCCGAACTTATAGGGCGTTAAAATCGTATACAGAGCGTCATTCACGCTCTAGTCTTCGTTTGTTCGACTGACAGCGAAGCAAGCAAAATTAGATAGTACTGCGATGACATTACAATTTAAATTCAACGTTTTAGCTTTTTCGTATTCCTTTACATGTCACTACGTTTAAATAGGTTGACTTGGGACATTTTTTTCGTGGTTTTTGTATTAGACCCGTCGTCCATTTATTTGTAAGTCAATGTTAAACAATCTCAACTTTATAAGTTTATATTTCGACTCATCCGAAGAAAAGAGTCCGATGTGATTATACAACGAAAAGAGGATAAATACATAACCTCGTTATTCAAAATAAGACCTAGCTGTAGGTGTTCTCAGAATTGTATGTATCATTTCGTTTCGGAAATATAAAATCGAATAACAGTCGATTTGATATCCAGTTAAGAACAACGTACAAAATGTACGATGTCCTGAGAATAAGCAATATTGCACATAGGTCTTTGTTCTTCGGATGAGTCGATTTAATCGTGGTTGTATATTTTTTAATTTTAATTGTATATAGGAAATGAAACTATTTTTCCGGATTTAAATCGCGTGTATTTGTTGTTTCAAACAAACCTCCAAGACCAAGACTGTACTACCTCAACCGTGACCATGGGACCTGTAAAGGGCCCGAAACGTCGGTTTGTTTGAAAAAAACAAATATACGCGATTTAAATCCGGAAAAATAGTTTCATTTCCTATGTGTAACAATCGCGAAAACCTAAGAATTTAATTGTATAATTTTTTTTTAACATTTCTTATTTTATTTTAATTTTAGCGTTTGAATAGCATCATACTAACCTTATTCCTAAATTCTTTACTAACGAACTATGGATAACTGTTGTTGGTCCGAAATAAAGTATTATTATTAAATAAAACCGAACCGTTACTTACTACTACAGCTTGTAAGACATCAGCCATAATTCTTTATAAACTTATACTTATCTACAGGTTCCGAAATTTTTAAAAAGAATATACGACGTTATTAACGTCTTTATTATTTTTTTAAACGTAAAAATTCTTTTTTTTTCCTCTTCTTTCCATAAAGGAAAAGGCAAAGGTTTTACCATACCATACAGCCAAGTCTTGGTACATTATTCTTTTTTGGTACATGAAGTTGAATTATGTTTCTGTAAATATGGCCGCCACAAAGAGGATAGGCAATTTGAGGCGGCGTGCTTGGATTGACTCGGGATTCCTTAGAACGGGTCGATACGGGTGTTTTAGTTCGAGATTCGTACAATTTCGCGTTTTAATCTTCGATTAAGGCACAATAGCACTATCCTATTCCACTTTAAACTAGATTTCACAAAATAATTGAAAGTCAAAATAAAAACGACACTTTTCCCTCCAAAAGGTCCAGAGCGTTTTTCCGTAAAAATTCTTACTTTACGATCATTTCTGTCACTGTATAGGAAATGATGGCCAAAAATAAGAAAGAAAACCTGTCACTTAATTTCGAAAGCGTACTTCAAACGTTACCCAAGTTCACATATCTCTAACTTGAGTAATACCGTTATACTTAGTTAAGTTAATATTTTATTAACATAAGATAATATGTTAAGTTACTTGGCAAAGTGTAAGTACCGTATTATCGATGTACAAATAAGCAAACTTAAGTGGAAATACTTGACATGTTAAGTTGAATCAGTAGGTCAGGCTTTAGGCTAGTGTGCTTAACGGTGCTTGAGCCGGTCAAGTAAGTTAAAGTTAGGATTAATACGTGTTGGCGTGTCTCATGAATAACCCAAGCTAGTTGGAAGTAACGTAAGGCTTATAGGAGAGACTAATAAGCTATTATTATTTACCTGACGGCAAATAAGATTTCATTTCTTCAGCGCAATTGAAAATCGTATAAATTATTACTGGTAATATTTATCAAGACAAATGTATTAAAAATTCACAATTTGTAAACAAATGACTGGTTTAAGGAGTCATTATAAAAGTACCTTATGAAAGTGACAACCCTGAAAAACAGACTACAACTAACTGGCTATATCTTCTAGGCTCCATGAGATATGGATTTGATTTTTTTTGTGAGGTAATGAAGAATATGAGACCTTAATAATGATGTAAATATCTCTTCCAAATACGACGGAATTTTCGAGAAAGAATATTAGAACGAAAATTTAAAAATAATTTATTTCTCTGGATCTATTGAAGATACGAGCTTCATAAAGGATCTTAGAGATGCAGCTTAAGAAGTACTTTCAGATTATGCATGACAGGTTTATACGGTTTTAGTTTTAGTGTAGGATTTTTTTTATCACTAAAAGTTTATTTAAATGTCGATTTCTGAGGTTTTCGCGATTGTCACACGTAGGAAACGAAACTATTTTGTAGAACCTAAATCGCGTTATTTGGTTTTTCAAACAAACCAAC